CCCTGAGCACCCTGGTCTAGTGGTAGGTGTCCCTACCCAGAGCAGGATAGTTGGAACTAGATGATCTTTAAGGTCCCTTCCAATCAAAACCATTCTATGATTCTACCTGTGTCTACTCAGTGAAACACAAAATGAAGGGTAAACCATTCAGGAGCTGAAGCTTGGGTCCCCTATCAGTGGTCTTACATCTAAAGCTTTATGCCATTTATGATGAAAATATTGTTTTAATGCTGAGAAGCTTTAAACTAAACCAAAAAGCAGTTTTAGCAGCAGAAATGTTAACTATGAACACTAAATATATGAAACAGGAAGTATTTAACAGCATGGCCCAGTTACAGAAAGAAATATCTGCACATACCTACATCACAAAGCTTGCTCTATTACAGCAGAGCTTCCTCTAGAACAGCAGTACTACCAGAAAACAACATTTTTTGTTGAGAAATGACACTTTCATTTGAAACAAGCAGAAGACAATAAGTATTGTTTATCTGTTTCTGTTACTGTTCCAAAGCATTCTGATGAGTGAAGTGCCCAAGCCCTTTATACAGTTTCCTCCTCAGGAAGGAAACAACAGTCCAAGTCACAGCATTTTATCACTTTCTGTCACAAAGACATGCTCTTGTTGCACACCAAAAATGGCCTACAAGAAAAAATCAGCACGGGTAACAGTTTTTCACCAGGTAAGCACTCCCCAAACTTCTAAAATACTGCATTAACTGGTGTAAAACTAACTAATGAATAAACTCCTCTGTTATCTGGAATGTTCATTGTTGTTCAGTAACTGCTATGTGGCAAAGAATTTTTTTCTTTCCTGCTGCTCTTGTCTTCTGACACTTTCAATGTCCCACAGCAGAATATATTTGATGGCATCACTGAAATGCAATATATCTTCATGTTCATCTGTTCTTCTGCTGAGGAGATATCAGAGGTTAAATACAGCTCTTCACAGGGAAAGAAATGTAGCATAAAAATCATGGTGCTAAGAACTAAATGAAATTACCACCTCCTGTTAGTTCAGGTGCTACTGCTGTACTTCTGCTTTTCTCATTATCTCCTCAGTAATTTAAGAGTGAGGCTAAGATAAAAATTACAGATAATATTTTGGGCCTAGTAATGCCTGGTATAGGTTATAGAGAACTAACAGAATTAATGCACATCTTGCTTACAACAGTATGTGTCCCCCCACTTAGGGGCTTCAAGAATAGTAGCTCCTTCCTTTTTGCACACAGAAGGCCCGAGAGGCATTGAAAGCAGTGCACAAGCACAAATTACAGTTTTCTGAGCAGCACGTGGCCAGCTGGTAATGTCACGTTTACAGGGATGTCACCCATCCACTAACTCCAGCCGTCATGCTGCATCTGCTGTGGGAGCTGGAAATGTTTAGTGAAGTCACCACACACTGACTCCTGCAATTCAGACTTTCAGCATTAGACTTCCACTGCAATGGGTAAGGGCATGAGCACCAAGTTTGTTTCTTGCCTCTCTTATTCCTGGTAAGAAGGCAGAGGGATGAGAAGAGATTCTCACTAATAGGTTATTGCTCAGCTTTGGTTTTAAATGTTGAATTTTCAGTTATTCTTATGGAAAACTAAGAGAAACAGAAAAATCATTGTCCTCCTAGTCCGGAATTTCAGTTACTTTCTGTGCCAGTAGCTAGTCCAGCTTCCACTGAGGGACTCTGTCACTACGATTGCTCTGCCATGAATAAACAGAAGACACGAGCTTATTCAGAATTTTCTACTCATGGATAGTATTATCTTGAGGACACACTATAGTTACCTTCAGGGGCACAAGAACTGAAAGGCTACTCCACATCACTATTCTGCAAGAGGAAGCTAAGAAAAGCCTGAGAAATTACTTTTTTGTTGTGTTTTTTTTCTCTTGGCATGCCATATCTGAAGGCAGAAGTAATTAACACAAGGGAAAATGAACAAAGTTGCCAAACCTGGCTCTTCAAACCAGTAGGACCTATCCATATTCTGAGAGGTGTGGACAGAGAGACAATTACACAAAAGTGGTCTACTAAAGATTTTCGAAGTAGAAGAACTTGGCAGAAAATTGTGTGGTTGTTTATTAGCCTAGCTTCTGAGTCCCTCCCTTGTCCTTCCTCCTAAATCCTACTCAGCTTGGAAAACCCCTTTCACAGAAGAGACTGTCTGGAAGTCTATAAGCAGATCTTTAGGCAATCCTGAGGGGCAACCTCAGGCTAAAAATAAAGAAATGACCTGGCAACATTGATCTTTGAAAGCTGCTGCTTTCTGTATTGAATCCAGAAGTACCGCTGCTCATGTTTCTGCCTTCCTACAGACAGATGGCAAAGTAGAGCCAAGTCAGGAAAATCCTGGTCAAGAAGCTTGAGGTGCCAGGGACAGGTATTTATCTCGAAACTGTCTTGAGCACCCTTTATTCTTACATACCCACAGGCAAGCTGCCCTCTTCCATCCCTAGACTACAGAGTGCAGCTCCCAGCTGAAATCAGTACATACATATATATATACACATCTCTATCTATCTATCTATCTATCTATCTATCTATCTATCTATCTATCTTTTTTGCAGCTACAAAAATGTAAATTAACTCCAATGCAAAGGAATTCAAGAATCTCTCTCTGTAAAGAATGTGAAGACTCTCAGCTTTTAAAAACACTTCTGACCTTTTTCACATAAATCAACTCTTACACAAATGTACACTCATCGGACAAAAGGCAACTAAGGTTCTTTTACATCAGTTGTGAAGACTATTAGGAGAAATATGCAAAAAGTTCATTTACTTCTACATAAAAACAGATTTTTCTTCATGTAACATAAGCCTCTTACAGGGCTTTTTTGGAGGGCTTGGAATTTGGTGCAAAACATCAGTATCTATTTTTTTAAGGTAGTTTTGAAAAAGCAGATAGCAGATAGCTGTAATCACATTGCCCATTCACAGCTTGTGAATTTTGCTTCACATACTGGAAACAGATGCCCAAAATACAAGAGTATCTTCAAAAAATAGTGTTTCTACTATAGAGAAAATACTTAACCTTGAAACTAGACTAACAGAAATTTCATTATGTTTTATACAGCAGGAATTATTTGGCTCCAGGTCTATTTAATCAAAACCCCGAAGGCTTAAATCCCACTATATTACAAGAGCATTACTCGCTCAGACTTAATTACAGATTCCAGCTGGAGTATGACCCTGTCTGCCTCAAAAGCAGCAACTCATAGAACAGGACAGCTTTACAACATCATTCTTTTGGCACCTGAATCCTGAACATGGCACAGCTGATTAAGATCAAATAAATGTTGACATGATGACCCTGTTACAGAAACACAATGCACTCCCAATACTGACACCAGCATTCCACAAGGGATACTCTGGAACACTTTGTGAGTGGTGTCTCCAGCAAGCAGCTCCATCTTCAATACTACTGATTGCCACTCAAGAGAAATATTTGTTTCTGAAGTCCCCAGATTATGGGTCACATGTCATGACACTGAGTCATTCAGGGAACTCAGCTTCAACAGAAGGCTTCAGAAGGAAAAAGAGCTACTTTTAACCTGTGCCAGAAGTTTTGTGCTTGAGCAATTGGAGAACAAGGAAGAGCATATTTCGGAACAGACCTAGAGATGACTGAGGTGGCTGTAACCAAGCACTTGCAATTCAATGCACCGACACGGTTCAGCTCTGTTTCTCCAATGTCTGAGAACCATGTTTCCACACACCCTATCTTGCAAAGCTCTCTATCAGAGGTGAAGCTCTGCCCTCTTGACAGTAACTATAAATTCAACAGAAGGCTACATGCAACAACTATGAATATCACAAATGGAGATGGCACAGCTTTATGTGCTTTGTTTCTGCCATGTGAGGAAGCTGTTGAAAATTTCTAGATGACCAAAGAAACCAGTTCATTTACCTCTGGGAAAAGGTGGGTGCTGAACCTGCACCATTGTTTTCGCAGTCTGGAAGGAAAAAAGAATCAACCCTAGCTCAACTCCCTATTCTGATTGTTTAATTCAATGCTGTGATCGGAGTGCAAAAGTCTACAAAGTATCTTGTAAACAACTGTAATGCCCGTGAATCCCAAATAAACCCCAGATCACATATAGTTTTTTAGATGTGGTATTTCATATGAAAGCAGAAATAATTTTTATTTTCTCCAAAAATCAAATTAGCCAAACATAATAAGGGCCTGGAGAAGATCATCTTTCCTGGACTCCAGAGAAAATCAAAACAAGTCCAGATCATGAAGAAGCTACAGAGTGATTGTGGTACAGATTTATTTTTATTTTTCCTGCTCTTTAGAGCATTCCTCTTTCTTTTAAATACCACTCCTTCCTCTTCCTGCACCAAGACATTGTTTGTTTAGAGATAAAACTCCTGAGCCCAGATTTAAAATACAGTCCTTAGGGTCTAAGTATGCATGTAATGGCAAGCATGATTCTGGAAGATTATATCAGTTCATCCGAAAATGAGAAACAGTGATGTTTTCTGGAGGGGCAATAGGACTAATAATAGTTGATAGAATACTTTTTTTCTTTATAAAACCAAACTCTAATTGCTTCAGGCATCAGAGATTAAACAGTAGGCAAATACTCACATCTACTTTATAGCTCTACAGCCTAGATGGGAAAAATGGCAGTTCAAATGATGTGCCTGTGTCAAATCATATGGGAGTCTGACTACAAGCTCTTGCTATTTTGCAGCCAAAACGAGGTTACAGATATATGCATATTCAGATTTTGCCTTGTTAGAGAATGTCCTATCAAAAGTATCAGAAAAAAACTGAACCTGAATAATCTGAAATAAAGGTGTGGCTTTGGGTTGGGGTGGGCTTTTTTGTTTTGTGTTAGTTTATATTTTGTTCATTTATTTAAATCAGTGCCTTGTCTACCCTTCAGAAACAGTTAAAGAAATAATTCCACATGGGTTATTGGAGAGTATCTGTATAGCTTGACTGCGATTACAGTGAGAATCTAAGGTTTCTTTGAGTTTTTGAGCCTCCAGTTCTCTCTTCTGTGCAGAAATAAATAGTAGAAGAGATTTTTGAAGTCTCTTTGGAAGGAGAGAGCAATTTAGCAACATCATTATTATAGACTGTAACATGTTTTTGAACAGAATGTAATATATGCTTTTTAATAATATTTGATGTAATTGGATTACTGTCTCTTCAGTTTTTCACTGAACATCTTCAATTTATATTCTTAAATAAATTACTGTGTAAATAAAATATACTCAGAGTTCTTGTATGTGAACAGTACTTACATTTAATTACAAATGATCTGGATATGTTTATAGGTGAAATACATTAAAATTGTTTACAGGAAATAAGCTCAACTAGCACTAATTTTGAAATCTAAATTTTCACAACAGTACTGAGAGTAGCTCAGCTATTTTTTTGAACATGCTTTTCAAAATGGAATTTGGAATGCAGTAGAAAAAAAAAATCAAAGAAATGCCAAAAAGAGGGAAGCACAGAAGATCAAAATTCCATAGCAGGTTGGATCAATAAAATATTAAACTGTAGTTCTTAAATATAAGTACTACACCAAGTAGTAACGTGGCTGTTCTTAAATGTTAAAGCCCTTGTTTTCTAAAGGAGACAGTAATAAGCAATTTGCCTATTCAATCCACTCAAGATTTAGACACCGTGCTATAAAAGCAAACATATCTGACACTTCTTCTATAACTTTAGCAGTTGGCTTTCCTGCTCCATGCCCAGCCTTGGTGTCAACATGGATGAGAAGTGGATTGGTTTGTTTACTGCTTCGGCCCACAATGTACTGCAGGGTAGCGATGAACTTCAGCGAATGCAGAGGGACCACACGGTCATCGTGGTCTGCTGTGAGAAGCAGCGTGGAGGGATACTGGATGCCATCTTCTTCTGGTAGTTTGACATTGTGAAGTGGAGAGTACCTGAGAAAAACACACAAATGTTTCCGTATTTTTTTCCTCAAGACTCAACAAGAAGTTCCTTTCCTACTGAAACCATCACAGTGGCACTTGTTAGCACTCAGAATAAAATAGTTCCCAGTCACATTAATCAGAATTGCACTAATGGCAACTGACACACAGTAGTGGCCACAGATCTCTGGCTCTGAAATGTGAAGCAAGTCCATTTCTTTATTTTCAAGAGGGATGTTATGTGTACAGCTCATAGGAATGTCCAAAATATCAGGAGTAGCCAGCAGGGAAACTGCAGTAAAACCTGTGAAGTCCATAGCAGGATCCATCCTGCTGGAAACAGGGAAATCGTGACTCTCAACAGAAGCTAAGAAATTAATTAAGATCTTATTATGGTTCGAGTGCCATTCAATTCCTACAAATAAATCCCACCCACATTGTATAACACAATTCACAATGGTGACTGTCTCTCCCTCACAGTAAAAAATACAATTCATCTAGTGGTCCACTTGAGAATATTCTGTTGTAATAGCCTAAAAGAGTCACTATTCAGAAAGAAAACCTTATGAACTGTTAAAAGCTGCTAGAAGAACAAGGTCTTTGAAAATATGAGCACTTGATTCAACAAGGCTTTGAAGTTAGTCTTTGATTCAAAACTGACTTGTAAGGAAATGCTGAACTCCTCAAATTCAGTGTGGGAAAGGATGAAGTAATCATTAGAATAGCTATTGATCATGACAACCAGAAAGTGTTGAGCAGACTACGTGTTTTAACAACCACAGAAAGTGTTTGAAGGCACTTACTTGTGCAGCCATTCGAACTGCTCTTTACAGTCGGAGCAACCATAGTCAGTGGTCCAAGCATGGCCGATGGTGTACTTGTGGAATTTGAGCATGTCCATCACTCCCACTTGGGCAATAGCACAACCAAACAGGTCAGGGCGCTGATTAGCACAGGCAGCTTCAGCAGGAAAAAAATTCCTTTAGTATTCAGATCTTAAAGAATTAACTTCAACAGTAAAAGGTTCACTACCAAGTCATACTGGGAGCAGGCTGTCAGTAAATAGGAAATTAAAGAAACTTTCAAGCAAAACTGTAAGCAGGTACACAAATGGATAAAAAAACGTAACTCTGAAAGATGGTATGTTAAAATGAACTTAAGAGCCATTTCTCTGCTCTTCAGACACCAAACATGTAGTGCTATGAAAACTGCCTTTCAAACCATGTAGTTCTATGAAAACTGCCTTTCAAACCACTGAAGGAGAAATGAACTTTTAAAGCATGTGAAATTTTGAACTACTGAACTGAAGGTACCTAAGCCATTCACTGTTTAAACTTTTAATATTAGTCTCAAGAAAGAAAAGTGCATTAAGGATTAAAAAACCCCCTGTTTACTGATGGAAGTTGTCTTCCATAATTACTATGTAAACCCGTAAGAAAAGAGTTTTGATAAAAGCAGACGGTTACAAAATCAGTGGAATAACCTCAAATTAACAAAGTAAATTGCTGCTGTATTTTCTTGTTTTACTATTTTTATCTTCCTACAAGAAGATTGTCTTGGAAGGGACAATATCATTAAGAATAATGCTTGCCTCATATATTTTAGAAACAAGTGCAGTAGCCCATCAAGCTCAGTGTTCAATGTATAAGAGTGGCAACTGGGAGATCTCTCCTGTAAATTATTATCTGATGAACTAGTTATTTCAGTTTTCTCTGAGTAGGAGTTATCTCCAGCCATCCTATAAAAAAGCCATCAAAACACACATCCCCTGTAAATACAGCTGTTTCCTCTCTTAATGTTTATTCATCCAGTATTCATCATATCCTGTATTAGTAAGTTCTTCAATTCCAATGACTGTTTCTTGATTTAAACCTTTTCCCTGGTGATTTTACAAATTCCTTTTTTTTAAGAAATAAGAGCACTGACATTTTCATGTAACTACTACAATGGATCCCAGAATCCCTTAATTAATTCAGAACTATTCACTGTGCATCTACATGTAAGTATAATCTTTCCCAAATTATTCTTATCTCCTCATTTCTGTCCATTGTAAAAATGGATTGACTATCGCCACTCTTTGCCTCCTGCTAACCCTGATATTGCTACGACATGACTTGGCTTCCAGCTCAGCAAGGACTTTCTTTCACAGCCTTATGTGAGGAAGCTTTTGAAAATCCAAAAAGAGCTCCTCACCTAGATCACTGTTAACAAGCCCCATATGCAGCCTGAACATTTGAAACATTTGAACATTCATTACATTTGAAAGCTGCAGCTTCAACCTGCAGAATTCTTTCTTTTATGTCAGCTATTATTTATTGGTTTCAACTAGCTTGCCCATTAGGGAAGTCAGATTTACTCATCTGCAGCTTGTGGATCACCATGAACCATTTAAAACTTGGCATTATACACTTGCCCCCTTCTGTTCCTCAGATATTCAGGCTTAGTAGCCTGTAATTTCATATCAGAGTTCACTTAGGATCCTGCATGTGCACCATCTGGTCTTGGCAACATACTACTTTTCATTGGATTGATTCATTCCAAAACTTTCCTTGCTGATGCTTCAACTGGAGTCAGATCCCGAGAATATTCCCCATGACAGACTGGTGCAGGGAACTCCCCCCCACACTCCTTAGGAGGGAACATCAATACAAACAGACCATTTAGCTGCTCTGCTTTGCCATTATTTTTCTTTAATGCTCTTTTTACATCTCACTAACCTGCAAGTCCCACAGATCATCTGGTCAGCTTCCTGCCTCTGATGTGCATAGAAAAATGTCATTGCTAATCTTAATATTGGAAGCAATTTGCTCATCACTCTCCTGTGATCTGTCTGTCCCTGCCAAGAGTTTACAATATACCCATTTTCTTCATTTAAATATGATTTTTACTTTCTGCAAAATGAAATTTTGCTTCTGGTCATCTCTGATATGTAACTATGCTAACTCTTTCTTATTTATGAGTCATTTCCATAAGGTATATATAGAGCCTTAAAGAGATGCTATGCAAAAGATCTTAAGGTTTTAACAGAAGCTTTTGATCAGATCCCTCTCCTTCAAGCTATTTTTTTTTTATGAACATAGATTATATTGTGGTAGGAACAAAAGCTAAAACAACTACCATAACATTTTATTTTAATACTCTTTATTTCAGAGGTCTCTTGGAGCACTGTCTGTTGCTCAGGATTTTGGAAGAAATTGCGCCTTGCTAGTTCCTTAAGTAGTTCAGTAAGAAATCACCTATGGAGACACTCATCCATGCACATTGTACCTTTTAAGTTAGGCACAATATTTAGTTATATGCATTAATAAAGCGTAAATTGGAACAACAATTTATTTATGAATTTTATTCTTCTAAACATAACGTTTAGCTTTAAAATTCAGTACAAAAATAAGCCTTCAAAACGTCGGAACTGGCTTTGTCTAGGCAAACACGAGAGGTCAAACACTGCATTTGCAGGAAGGTTTTCAGCTCACAGCTGTGCTGCTCTGCTCAGCTTGGGGATCACAGTGCAGGACAAGGAAGTCTTGTTTTGTGGCTGAATGAGTCAAGACAAGCTCAGGGCCCTGCAGTCCTCAGAATCACCTCCTGTTAGTCTGACTAAAAGGAAACAGTATTCTGGAAGAGTGACAATACTCTTCCTTGTCAGCTTTTTCTTCAATAAATAAGAACAAAGAAAATCTGGCAGTGGGTCCTTGAACTTACAAAATGAGTTATGATCTCTAATGCTGCATCAACAACTATTGCAAAATTTATTCTTGCTTTGATAAAAAAGACCTTACAAGAACTTCCTGAATTCACCTAACTACTCAGTCAAGGAAAATCCCTATCTGGCTCATCAAGAGCATGGAAATCCTGCTGGACTGTAATCTACCAGTAAATTCCAGGGAAGGGTTCTAACAAGATTTTTTACAGCATGGAGGTCTAGATTCCTAACACCTCTCTCCTACGAGAATGATGTAGTTCCTGCAGTTATCACTTGCTTCCCCTTATTAACACAAGGAGCCCAGCTGAATAGTTCAGCCAGTAAACCAGGGAGTTTTATTACTGAAGCTGGGTAGGATGAGCCTCATCCTGACTGAAGCTGAAGTCCACAAAACAATAAAACAATATTTTCAGAAGCTATGTAACATCTTCAAAGTTTACCTGCAATTTTTTGCAGTTTTTCTAACTGTATATTTAGGCTCATATAAAACTGACTTGTAAAATGCTTGCATTCCCAAATGGAGTACAAACCCTTTAATCCTTTATCATAATCACCCATTTCTATTTTCAATGCATAAACACTTTCTGCCACTGGTTACTGAGAAGCATATAAGCAAAAACCAAAATACAGCTTTACAAGTACTTGTTGATCTTTGAAACAATTGCTTTTTAAAAATAATAATGCAGGTCTAGCCAAGATGGCTTAGACCAAAGATCTGTATAATTCCAAATCCTGTTTCTTATGATGGATGCTAATTCACTGAAAAATACAATAATATCAACAGAGTCAGTATGCAGCAGCAGCTAAATAAAAAAAGAAGAGCAAGCAGAATGGGCCTAGTAAAACTGCTCGTTTTCTATTAACTCAGTGATCTATGAGCTTGAGGTGCCTTTTTTACCCCCTTCTCACATAAGTAGCTCCAATCTATCATACTGTCACCTTTCATGCTGCTTAAAAAAAGGCAAACAGACCCTGATACTATTACTTTGTGTCTCCTTTTCCTTTCCAAATTGCACAAAAAAATCACCTTCTTTTTTCTTCTGTTACTTTCAGATGCTTTCAGATAGGGATCTTATCAGAAATATATTTTGTAGCTCTTAGACTGTTCAGAATACAAGATCTTTCAGTGGCAACACCTCTGTTTAAGAGGAGGCTACGAATTTCCTTGAATTTAAGGACACAGAAGTGAATTTTAAGTGAACAAGGTGCATTTTTAACAGACCACACACACTTTACCAATGCTACATAAATTAATAGTTCAGTAGTTATTTTGTAATGGTTAACCTGAAGAAAGAAAAATAAGTAAAAAAAAAATGTTTTTTAAAGCATTCCTACTTTCTGTGTGATTTTACCACTGGGTTAGCTATTACATGAGACTGTGTGGCTTTTAACAGTCAGCCTTTGCCAGAGACTGAAGAATTCCAATGTCCTATGCAAAAAGCAAATCAAGTACTACTGTACATATTTAACACCTGGTATACATTAATGCATTGACATTCTGGCGACATTTGACAGGCAAATCTCAACAATTTTTGCCTGGTTACTTTAATAAGCCCAGCACCAAATCTGGGAAATAGACAAGCGGTTCTTACCAACTAAGAGGCCCCCATTTGATCCTCCATTAATAGTCAGCTTCTTTGGGGATGTGTAGCCTTCCTTGATGAGGTATTTGGCAGCACACTGAAAGTCATCAAAGCAATTTTGTTTGTTGGCCAAGATACCACCTAGCACGGAAACAAAACAAATCAGCCGATACCATAAAATCCCTTTGATACCATCTCTTCAGAAAAACATATGTGCAAAAATACCTGGGAACAATTCCAGTTTCATGAATATTTTAATAATTGATGCAGCTCAGAAAAACAGCAAAAATGAGAGATTCTATCAACACAGAGAGGCTATAAGATGGTTCTGTCAATAACTCTGATGCTTTCAGAAACTCTGAATAATACATACCTATACCGTGGAGTCAGTGCCAGGTAATGTTCCTAACCAGTGAAAGGAAAGCTAAAAGCTTTGCACAGCAAAATATATACAAAATGACCACATAAAACCCACTTGAGGTTTGAGCTAATGGGACTTTAACATCATTAAACTCAGTGACAGTTTCTTAAGGCAATAAACAAGCTATGTAAAATAAGCACTTCTAATTTCCTGGATATATACTATGTGGCTGGTAATTTACTTTTTTTCCTATTAGTTGTTTTCAAACCAGATGATATAAAGCTATGGTTAAAAAGGGACTTCAGGTTGCATCTTGCACTGAAATTTTATTAATTAATTTTCAATATGGAAATGTTTAAGATACTACTGTCATGTTGAATGAAATTCCATATGTCATCAGATGTATAAGGGAATAAGTAATGACAGAAAATGTTGGTTCAAATGACATCATTGATAAAACTTCCAGGTCTGAAAAAAAATGTTTTTTGCAGGGTGGGATAGGGAAGGAATAGGATGGTTTTCCCTACAATCTTTCAATTCTTTTAGTAGAAGAGTATCAGCTTAGAGAATTCACAATTCTAAATCTTGCTTGCTTGGCAAGAGACTAAAATTAGATTCTCCTCAAAGGTTATCCTACCTAAAGACCATGTTAATCGCAGGCAATTAAATGCTAGTAAGAAATGGGAACTAGGAAGAAAATCCTTGCATTCTTGTAGCAAAGGCAGTGGCCCAGCCAGGCAAGGGGGGCTTAAAGGATGCAGAAAGAGAAGTCCAGTTTCTTCTACTTTCTTTAAAACCTGGATGTTTATTCCAAGCTGATTGCCTAAGGTTCCCCCTATGGTCTAGGAACCTCTAGGACAATTAATTTTACCCTAAATTAAGTGAAGTGAGCTACTGGAGGTGTCTCTTTATCTCCATTCTCCATCAACCGATCCTAGCCAACCAGTTTACAATGGTTGCTTTGTTTTTGTGTCACAGAAGTTCAGCAAGATAAGTCTGACATTTAGTCATAAAGATTTTGCAGAATTGAAACCAGTACATTTGTATTTGTCTTTTTTTTAATACACCTAATTCTTGTATTAATAAGAGCATTGAAGAGAGACATACTGGGACAACAAGGAAGCCTTCAAGTATGTGGGAATAAAGCGGAAATAAATCTTTCTCCTTGCTCAAAACACCAGGCTGGTGTAAGGTCAGAATCCTATTTATAAAATTAAACCTAGGTGAAAAAAAACTTCTGGAATTGCTTCTGGAATTAAAAAAGAACAGATACATATTTTATTTCAAACTGTGGTAAAAGACTTGGGTCAAAATCAAGCAGGAAACAGGAGGATCAAAGAAGCATTATCATATTACAATAAATTTTATTAAAATCTACTACAAATCAATCTGCAAATTAAAATTAATGAGGGATACTTCATCTTTAGCAATAATATCCTGTATCTGCAAGCACATACAGCTTCTATTTATGAAACTATTACATAATTAACTCAATTGTGAGGAAATGACCCAGACAAATAGTTGCCACAGATGAAACAGTAAAATCAAGATGCAATGATGTGGAAATACCATTTTGTCTGATAAAAAAGATATTATGGATTACTGCCATGGCAAATTTCTAGATCATAAGCATCACTGCTGTGGCACATTTGCCTTGCTGACAACATTTCCAGCAACTTATGCACCAGATTCATGGAATATGAGCAAAATGTCACCATTAAATAAGGACAGGTATGTTGCTGAGATAAGAAGGACCTTTTCAAACTTTTTCCCCTGGTGGAGGAATGTGGAGAGTTGTCAACAATAAGGCAAGTGGACAAAGACAATTAAATGATGAAGACAAGGACTTGAAGGGAAAAACATGGACCGAAGTACATCAAAAGTGTTAAGAAAAGGGGAAAAGAGATTGACAGAGCTTTTATTGCCCACCTGCAATAATGAAAGAGGTACGTGAAAGCCAGGTCATTTGCAACAGACAGACATTTTTTGTAAGATCAGCTCAAGACAAATAGCTGCATTTTCCAGTGTTTAAGTCCAGGGTACTTGACCTTGCTTAAAAAACCACAATTTTCCTTGGAAACCAAATTTTCTTTGGAGAATACTGTCTTTGTACAAAACTGTTTTTAATTAGGTTGCAAAAATGCAAATAATCTAATAAAAACCATCAGATTAACACTGGACAATATACAGATCTAACATGTAAGTAAGGAAAAAAGATCTACTTTTTTGCAGAACAAGTAAAATCCAAAAGGAGATGTGAGCATGGAAGAGGGAGTGAAAAGAAAATGTTGTAATTTTCATTGCTAAGCTTGCAGTTTTGTTCCTGTGCTTTGACTGACGTACCTTTATGCCAGGTCTCTCCATATTCGCCCCCACCCCTGATGTTTGCCACTGCTAGAACACCTCCCAGGTGTCGCACAAAGATAAGTCTTGACACGCTGAAAAAGCAAACAGGTAACAGGATTATTTTTATTTTCCACTTTTTATACACCTACCACTTCTACAGAAATACATCTGAGGGAAAGATCTCTCCCAAAATCAATGATGAAATTGTGAATTAAGTCCCTCCTGATGGTGAACCTGAGTAGTTCAATTTTTTAATGGTTATCCATGGAAATGAAACTCCCAGCAGCTTTAGGAAAGGAAGGAACCAGTGCTGCGTTCCTCCTTCGTTAGTTCTGCTCTGCAAAGGAGAGTGGCCAGTGGTTTGGCCTAACAGATGACCTGTCAGAATCTGTCATTATTTACAAAAATTATCTTCAAAGCAGACTAGAATTATGCAGTACCACTGGACCTCCATAGCTTTCTGAATTGTTCCTCTTTCATGGGACTTCCACTTCTTCAGAGAGGAAAGGAAGAAATCAAAGAATTAAGACTTAAGATCAGCACTTGATCTTTGCTTACGAGAGGTATTTTCAACCTAACTTCTGCTTAATATACTTCTTTTGGACATTTGCAATACTGTGTTTGCAAGAAAAATTCTGTATCTACTTCTGTGACATGGTCAGCAGTCAAATCCGCAGCTGGCCAACTGCATTCTTATCCATTTTTCTCTCACATTGCTAAATACAAAACAAATAGTATAACATGAAATTATAGGTTCTGCCTCCCCTACTATCTCCTGAACCTGTCTGAAAGCTAAAATAGCATGTTTTTTTAAATGCCAAATTGCAAAAGTATTGAAGATATTACTATCTTTAAAATTAATGGAAGAAATTCAAATTATATTTAACAAATAAAAAATGTTAATGGTTGATCTGTTGAGGCAGATCAATCTGCAGATCTGCACATAGCAGAAGCTGAAGGCCAACCACACATATGCTAAGGAAACAAGTAAAATGTTAAAATTTAAGCTCAACAAGTCTTTCTTTTCCCCACTTCTACTAGGTTTAAATTTCTTATTTACCTGAATTATTTGCTAACCCAGAAACCACTGTCTGCAGAAAACAAATTTGTTCAACCACAAGGGTGGGTACTGGGGTTGATCAGACCATAGAGATCAACCAAAAACCAAGGGAGTCTGGTCTGTAGGCCGACGTTAGCTTAGGGTGAGCAGTGCCCTGCCAGCATTGCTCCCTGGCAAAGTGGCATGTAAATAGTTCTGTTCACAGAAGGTTGTAGTTCTAGAAGGTTCCCCAGTTCTTCTTTGACTGGTTGTCCTTTGGTGCATAATTTTGCATATTCCTAATCTCCACTTCCTATTGGACCCTCACCCTCAGGTTCCACCCTTTACCCTGCTCTATAAATACAGCCTACCTACCCCATTTTGGGGTCTTTGGAGCTTGTCCTACATTGTGGTTCAGCTTTTACTGTTTGTTACTTTTGTCATTAAACCCTTTTGCTTTTTGGACTACTCCATTGACCCGTCTTTTTATTTAATACCATCGAACCTTCGGCTGACGTGGTCCTGAGGTGGCAGCAGGTCAGAGCACCACACAAGGGCAAGGATTGGGTCTTTTTACCTTTAAGTCCCATTACTGCTCATCAGAAATGGCTTGAAAAATGGTGTCTGATGTGGATGTAGTGTCACAACAGGTGAAGTTTTCATACCTCCCAAAGCAATTACCTATGTACTGGCACATGGTCTTGAGCATATATATCAAGGAGTAAGGAAATGAAAAGCACAAGGATAACTGATAAGAGACTTCTTTATTTTCATAACCATCAAAGGAAAACCTTCTACCTAGGCTGGTTATCCAGTCCCGTAGATGGCTCAGGAGGCATGAATTATCTCAGCTTCTGTAAAATCAAGTCTCAAGACCATCACTGTGAATTGCATTTTCCCTAGAGTGCTGTGACATGCTGATCAAATGCAAGATTGATATTCTATAAGCACATTGTGCAAAGGTCAGAGAGCGTTACTCTGTCAAACTCCAGGACTCTTAATTTCAACAGGTTGCTACACAGCTGATGTGGAGTAACCTGACAATAGGTTGCCTCATGGGACTGCGGCTTCTTAATTTTTGGTATGTAGAATCACAAAACCTCCAAAATATTCTTCACTTCTTTTCCCTGTCTGCCTCAAACTTTGGACCTCTTGGTCAAAAGTTACTTGATTCCCTAATAATCAGAAGTAGCAAGTAAGAACTAAAGGTATGTTTGCTTCCCAAACATATTGCCTGAAAATACTTAAAAAAATAAAATATTCCACAAGACAGTCCGTCCTCTTCCATCTGCTGAAAGAAACCGTGCCCGTCTGAAGGCTCACTGTGAGTCAGGACCCGAACTTAACCAATACTTGGAGGTCCAAGCTTGTAACAAACATTCTCAAAGTTTTTCTCTCGAACTTTACTTTTAAGTTCAAGGAAGCAGGTTTTGTAAGTATAGAATCCAGATTTATTACTTTTTTATGAAGTGAAAATTCCAAGTAATCAGACAGCACGAAGCTCAAGTTTCACATACAGCCCTACTACTGCCTCCTGTGCTTTTCCAGGTGGATTCTTGCTTCCAGATTTGATTTCAAGTCAGCTTGAGTCACAGCAAACTGCCCAGTCAACCTGCATGGCTATGAAATGTCTCATTCTGCAAGGCAAAGTCTGGCTCCCTGCTCCTGCCAACAATCTCTGTAGCCTTTTGCTCATTATCCCTGTTCTTCCTTCTCTCCTGTAAACAGGGTAAAGGAAAGGGCAACAGGGTCAGGACAGAGTCAGTGGAGGGATCAGAAGATAGCTCCTGCCCTGAAGAGCTCCTTCCAGACCCTCTAATCACTCTTAAGGAGCATAAAACAAGAAATAATACATCAGCTATTGATTTTACAGTAGGGAACAATGTGAGGAGCTGTGTTTCACAGAGCAAGAATACTTCTGTAAAATTGTTGATCTGCTGTCAAATATTAGAATTGACACAAAAATGCAGGCTAGTACACAGGTGACAGTGAAGAAGTCCTGAGCTACTGGATTTGGTTGCTTTTTCACCATTTGTGGAGCTGAAGAGAGCAGTAACAGAATAAGGAGTAATCATCCACTCTGCACTGAGGGCTGCTCTGTTGCCTGACCTCTCTCCAGCCTGACAGTCTCTCTTCCCTGTGCCACCTCTTTGCTTAAAGGCTGGGAACAACCTGGCAGTGAAATGCAATTTCACAGTCTGCTGCACAACCAGCTGTATTCCAAGATGAGTTAGAAATTGCTTCTCCTGTACCCACGCAGGCACACACAGAACAGTGAAGGGAAACATGTTGGTTCCTACAGCAGAGTTAGCCAAATCTGAGGCATTAGTGGTGGGTTTGTGATGGCATTTCCTCAGCAGCTCTGCCAAGCCACTGGTATCAGTTCCATCAGCCTTCACTTGCTATGTGGGCTGTATAATTAATGACAGTCCTCCAGCAAGCACCATCTCAAAATGCCACCAAATGCAGCTCTCCAGTCCAGAGAAGCATATGAAAGATGCATGCTTGCATTCAAAAATAAACCAATGCTGTAACTGACTGAATGACTTTGACCTATCATTCTTGCAGTTATTTTTGGATCCTGTAACCTGCTGGTTTGTTTCTATTGCTTTAAGTGAATTTTTTTTTTCATTTTTTATGTGAAGAGAAACACCAGTTTGTGAATTAAGCAGAAATAAGCTCCCCAAACCAGAGAGCTGGCTCATGATAACTGGTGTGAAACACCAATAAGAAAATACTCTACAGGCTGGAAGACATACAGGACAGAGTCGAACCACTGTAAAGGAGAAGATGGAACACTTTGTGGAAAGTTTTAAAAACCTTAAGTTTAAATAAAAAAGCCCAGGACTATTTAGCCAGGAATTTTTTTGTTTTTTTGTTTTTTTTTTTAAAGGTAAGCTGGTTACTACTTGGTTACATTTCCATGGCTACATCTTAGCTCAGGATAGGGTGAGTGAGGCATGAGGCAAGCCTCAGCCTTGGCCATCCTGTGGCTGCTTTCTAGCACTCATGCCTGTAGTCATAAAAACCATATGGAACAGCACCTGGACTTGGGAACTCCTTGTGGAGAACTGCAGTATATAGTAACAGGGATGGAGTAAAACATTTGTGGAATCTGCAAGGTAAAGGGTGAACTGGACATCCCGCTATTCTGGCATAAATTCTCTCTTACAATTTCCCTGATTCTGCCTGCCTACTTTTGGAACACATTCCCTCACCAAGTACTCAATTCTCAAGTTATTAGTCATAAACATGTATTTGAAGGCTTTGGCTTTTCTTTTCTTTCTCTTAGAAAGAGAAAGCTGAGAAATCATATCTTGATATTAAAGGAAGAGAGTAAGTGTGGCCAATCTTGTTTTGCTTACATTGTCAGTGGGATAATACCTTTTGATCTGGTCATTGGTAGTTCTCTCTGCATTTACTTTTAAGGGACTGTTACAGATTCATATTCTTAATTTGTGAACTGTATAATGAAGGTTTCATAGGGTTCAGGAAAATATAGGTCACTGCTCCTACCTCCCATCTTCCTCTCTTCTAAATGTCAGCTGCACCCTCTTGCTGCTGTTTGCTGGACTCCTACGAGAATCAATTTTTAGCTTGCCAGAATGGCAGAAAACCACCCACTCTGTTTCGCTGGGATAGTTTTCTGTCATTCTTGCGAGGTAAATCAGCTTAGCAAAGGCTCCAGCAAGCACCAGGGCCAATGGATGGGAGGTGGAAGTAGGCACTGTGAAATAACTTCTCCTTTTGCCAGCAACCAGTTCATGTCAGCTCTGCAGTATGTGAAATTTTACCTTAAACCAATAGATATGTAATATTTATTTTACATTCTTTTAAAACAAAAACATGGTAAGTTTTATCACTGTTTTCAGCATCTACAATAAACTGTAATAAATCAGTAGTTGAACCTAAGTAAAAAAGAATTTTAAAACTATGCTAGTTATATAATTGTGTCTCTCAAGAACCACAGGAAATTAAAAGTGTAGCTTTATGAGGCAGATAAAAAGCTTACAAATAATAAACAGAACACAAGATGGGAGGTCTGTTGTTAGACAAGGTATTTGCTAAAAATCACAAGGAACTGTAAATGCTATTCAGAAATACAATCACAGCAAATAAGAAAGGCAAGCACTACAAAGGATTTCTTTAAATGTGCTAACTCTAAAGCAAGACTGCTTTAGGTAGCACCTAAACTTAAAAGGATTGTTTCATAATAGATTATTTTTCTATGGTGAGCTGCTCTTCTGCTTCCTGAAAATTTGTTCTCTATTCAGCCCTTTCCATTTCAGTTTTCCTCTGCCTCACCTAGGAGCATTTCTTAGCTATTCAAGCACTGCCTCTTGGCAAGTCTATTCAAATTGCCTTGCTTAAGAAATATTTTCTTTACAGAGATCATCTATGCAATAAAGCTTATAGCTTTTGAGAGCTACAAAGCCTGTTCTGAACACAGAATTTTTGATTTACAACGTGTTGCTTTGCATTTGTGAACACAGTATCATTAGTGTTTCAAGATCCTCCTTCCTGATCATATGAGACACAGACGGATTTTGTTTCCGATATAATCTCAAAAGTATATTATGAAAATGCAGCCAAATTTTTATTATTTATATTAATTTAGCTAAACATTTGATTTTCTATAATATTTAGACATAGGTAACTGTTTAACTTGGAAAAAAGAGAACTTCCTATGTTATTAGTTCAGCAAAGGGCTCAAATATTTCCTTAATATATGTGTCCACGTTTTTCTGTTGAACTCAGTGACAGAGCAAGAAGAGGTTAAGGTGTAATCCTAAGGGCAGGGTGACTGTTGTAAGCCTCAGGAGAGCAGAGCACTTCTCTGCTCTGACATAATTTCTTCTGCGAGCGTGCGTAAAACCCTTGAATTCAGAACTAACAGAGCAGACAAATGATGCCTGGGCAGCCCTTATGGCCTCCATCTTGCTTCTTAGGAACCTGAAATGCATCCTGTCAGATTCATGGTGCACCCTGCCCACAGTCTGTGACAGCTGTTAATGCCAGATACTTTAAAAGAAGGTGTGAATCACCCTACTTACCTGTAGCTTGGTGTAATTGATATGTTGAAGCCTCCATATCCATACAAGAAGGCGGGATGAGAACCATCTAATTTAATTCCTTTCTTGTGAATAATAAACATTGGGATCTTAGTGCCATCTTTGCTAGGGTAGAAAACCTAAGACAACAGAAAAAGAAATACAAAATGCACTTAGTGCTGTAACTCTCCACAAGTGCTGTTAACAAGAACCAGAGGTGATCATTTGTACAGTGTCTGACGGGTAAAATCTTCCGAACAACTTGCACCAATTGCCAGGTCAGGTTCTGTAAATGGGCACCACCCGCTTGGTTGCTTAGCAGCTCTGGACAATGTATCAAAATGAGAGAATACAAAGGGTACGACAGTATCACCTTTAGGTATCTTATCCATCAATTCTACACACAAAACCGTGTAAGAAAATATTACAAGAAGAATACAGTTCTCCTGCAAGGGAGCTGTGCTTATGAAAACATTAGGGCTGCATGGTCCATCACATGTGAAAGAGCTGGCAAAAGACTGAGCTGGGACAGAGAACGAACAGATAAAACCAGATTTCCTCACAGATTAATTCACCAAGGTAGGTCTGTATCCAGCAAAAGGGGACAGTCTAAAAGGGGACAGGTAAGCACTGCCCAGTCTTTCAGATTCTCTCTGGGACACTTCAACCTTGTCAGGGTGGTAACACAAGCCACGACAGAAACTTTTGTAGCGCTTTGGTGTATTTTTCGGACATTACTAAACAACTAGAACCAGGAGACCCAACCTTGCAGAATCCCCAGTCTGTCAAGACAACTGAACTGACCACTGGCTTTATTCCTGAAAGGAAACCAGCTCACCAGACACCAAGTATCCACATAGCACATGCTTTCACATGTCCTTCTATTGCTGCCACAACATTGTGTGAAGTTAAAAACTGAACTCCACATACACAAACAAAGACTATAATTGCTTAACACAGTTCCTACATCTTCTTGTTTTGATGCATGTCTCTGCCTGCATACTCTAATCTGGGATCCACTGTGTCATATTTTGCCAATCAAGCAAACAACATGGCTGTGAATGCAGTTTGTTCCTTGTCCTAAAATTCTGGCTGATTCCTTTTCACTGCCTTGCTTTAACATCATTGCAGCTTCTACTCTAATTAGAACAAAAATGTAGTAAATGAAGAATGACACATTCTTATAATTGAGATGCATGTCTACAATCTCTGCTTTAAAAGGAGATAGTCCTACCGTGATTGGTAAAGCACATGATCAACAGGTTCTATTTTTACACATGAACCTCATCAGTAACATGAACCTATGCAACACATTTATTCTGAGCATTGCCTGTAATGTGAAACATGTAAATCCACATGGCACACTGAAAACAAAGTAATCACATTTAATTTTATTTTAATCATTGCTAAGGAAATGTAAGGAATCTCAAATGAAATCGTATCTACCTCCAAAGGCTTTACCAAAACCTCTAGACATATTACAGATAAAAATTAAGTATTTCACAGTACCCAGTAGATGGAAAAAAAAAAAGAAAAAAGAACAGAAGTCTAAAGGTGTTATTACATAGATGAAATCAGTTTCCAACTGCTGCCAAAACTGTATCTTAACTGACAAAGTTCTTGCCAGAACGGTAGAGTATTGAAAAAGGATTTTCACACTAAATAGTCACTTGAACACTACAAACGAGTAAAATAACTGATGAACAGGAGAACTGCTGAGTCTGATGATGAGGAGTTGCAGACTCTTCCCTAAAATGCCATCCGTCAACTCCAGCTGTTGCTGGCAATTTGCAGGAAGCAAGCGTCTGGCCTTTCTACACTTCTAGAAACTTAACTGCCATTGACCAGTCCTTTCCTGATTATTAAAGTATGCCACTAATTTTACTGCTGGTTTCTGAATGAGGACTTTACCTTTTATATAACCACTCCCTGAAAACTGACTTCTGTAGGGCTTTCATTGTCATCAGTTACGATAAAATAACATACCATTAAATGAAATCTCAACAGAGAAAAAAAGATTCATGTCAAGCTGACATTTGCAATTTAAGGGTTTTCAGTCCTATCTTTGCTAAAATAATTATTACCTCTCCCTCCAAGATGAACACACGAGGGAAGGGGGTGGAAATCAATTCAGTGAGACACTAAGATATGTGAAGCTATTTAAGCTTCTCCAAATAGACTATTTTCAACAAGTGATTCAATCTCACCTTTAAATTAGCTGTTATCTCTGAAGCAAGTCGAATGGTTTATTCATGTAACCAATAAAGGGACGAGCTTCTATCTCAAAGATTAAGGTAAACTGCAAAGGGCAAGCCCTAAAAAGGATTTCCCAAGATGGTGTTTCATGCCTAACTTTAGATGCTGTCAGTTTTTACAGTGGTAAATGCTCATAAAAGGGTACTACCTTTTCCTGCTTATCACAGATAGGAGAGATCCACTTGTGCCAGTCACACAGTACTACTCATTGTTCATATATTTTCCAATAAGGTCTTAAGTCACTGAAGTCAGCATATGTAAGAAGAGGACAAGTTAGGAAAATTAATTTGAAAAGAATGGAGAAAAACACTTCAGGAATATTATTATGAATGCTGAAACTCACCATTCAAGGCGGGACATGCTAAAAATAAGTATCTTCAGCCTTTAGGAATGCAACAGCAATGTTGCATGGTTGACAGGGCACTCCTGCAGTGTGCAACCCTTGGTGCTATTCTAGGACCATAATGTTGGAGCAGTAGAGCAGTCCTGGAATAGCTGTACCTGTTAGTCTCATACTAATGTCCTTGTGTGCTGCCTTCCACACCATCTGTCCATAGCCCATTCCATCTCCCATAACCCCTGACCTTACAAAACAGACACCAGTCTGGGGCTAAAGACTATAGCACTTCACAAGCAAAACTCCCTGTTTATTGCAGCAGTGGCATGGACCCAAGTATAAGATGTGCAGTGGCCCCATAGGCAGCTCTGGCAGCCAGCCAATGGCCACACGTAAGAGCAGCTCTTACTAGACACCAGTTTTTGTTTTCTTAAAATAGAACATGAATCAGAAGTCAGGAAAACTAACAGAGAACTGTTACCACTACAGAGCAAATCCAAAGGATCAGAGGTTTCCTTTCTTCAGGGGGGAATCCTCATCAATCTTCCTTAAGTCTCTTAAATTAGCTTCAAAGCAATTCTGTGTGGGTTGCAAAGCTTGCTTAACACAGAGCTGGAGAGGGGCCAAAGTAACTCAGTACAGTAAAAATTCATGCAGGTAAAACCCAGAGAGAAGGACACCCACCACAGACATTTGCAAAAGCACTATGAAAATAATCAAGAAACCGCTCAGAAGAAATTGTTTCACCACCCACCCACCGGCACAAAAAGCAGACTCATGCTGACAGAGGCAAAGTGCCAGGAGATGGTCTTTTAGAAGAAAAGTCTCCTTGCTACTAGGTTCAGCTGCTTAACTGCACTGACTGCAGGGAGGTACCTCACAGGGTGGTGGGAGGATACAGGGGAAGAAAAGAGAAAATACAGGTGTGAAAGGTGAGAAATCCTGCAAGACTGGCATGGAAGAAATTGCTTTTAAATCACTCTTTTCTAGCTAAGTTAAAAGGTATGATCCCCTTTTACATAAAGCCTTAGAGGTAAGTGGGATCAAATGAGATCCCCACACACCTTCTACTTCTGCAACCAGAGCAGCTTCTTGCCCTTTCTGTTTATCCTTTGCCCCTTTCAGTACAATCTCAGAGCTTCCTGCAGCAGAATAATTAGAATCTGCCAAGTACAGTTATTCCACTTCTTTCATCAATTTGCCATGAAGATGACTTAGTGTACAGTGTAGAGACAGACAGATACAAGACAGATAAATTTACCTTTTCATTTAAATATACACTGTAGTAATGTTAAACAGAAAAATGTCCCAGAGGCCTTTGTAATTTACAGTCTCTTTTCTGAATTCCCTCTGTGTTTATGCATTCAGGAAATGTACTACTGTGAAGCAGGCATACTAAGAAGCAAAGGGATGTCTTGATGGAAGTAGCACACCATTATGAACAAAATCATAAATAACAGCTGCTGGCTAGTCCATTTTCTTTCATTACATCAAGCTTTACTTCACAGAGTAAACTGCTCTGACAAGAGACAACTCACTGCAGTGTAGTGTGTAGGTATTAGAAAGTAAACACTACTCATTTTTACCATGCTGGAAATCAGTTTAAATTGCAATGAGAAACACTCTTCAGAACAAAAATGTAGAAGCAACTTATGGGTAAAGCAAGAGGGAGAACCTACTTTTTGCAAGCTACTTCATAGTAACTATTCTTATTTATGGTTTTATGATGTATTAGATGCACACACCTAATCTGAGGTCCTGAGAGAGAGATACATTCACTCAAACTAGCTGGTAACTAGCTAACTAACTAACTAACATTCACTAGTAACTAGTTAATTCACCTCCACTGTTTTTTACTACATCTTGCTTCAAGCTTGCTTGGTCATCTCAACATAGACTCTCTGGTGAGCGTTTACAAGCCTCAGGAAAATAACACAACTACTGCTGGATTTTCACTCTAATGCAGGGCCAGTTCAGGGTGCTCAAATTTCACCTGTAAACTGATACCCAAAAATTCTTGCACACAGAAAATTCAATCTTGACAATGGGGATGTCAATTGTCAGCTTGTGTCAAAGCCTCAAGAGAATCCACATATCTGCTTACATGGCCAAGAAGCTTTGTTCATGACTTTCAAAGGCCAGGCAATTACAAGAGGGTTCTGCTCTCTCTTCCTTAGAGAATCATACCATGTTCATAGCTGTTAAGTTCACTACCCAAAATCAGAAGTACTATAAATCACTGAACACTCTCAAAATTCTGCATGTGGCTAGTACAATATTAAAAATTCATCCAAGCTTTTTGGTTTGAAAGAGAGATCTTCTACACCAGACAGTGCATGTTTCAAAATCAGTTCCAAATCACTTTCCAGTGAATATTTATTCCAAAGTACTTACTGAAATAAATAGTTCATTAAAAGTATTGTGAAGCAGTTCCATATACATTTTCTCACTCACATTATAGCTATAATTTACTTTCTGAGATAAATCTGAATTTAAAGTTACTCATTTGTGCCCCTACATAATTAAAATACCACCAAAACGGTAGCA